CTAATGCTTAACCACCACAAGAACTTTTAATACTGTTAAAACAAGCTTATTATGAAAATGCATGCAGAAAGAATGACTTCCAAAGGTAGCAAAAGATAAGCAACTACTCTCGTGTGTGGGCATGACTTATGGGATTTCAATTGAAAACCTCAAGAGGTTCTTCATTCTCGGAATACTCAAGGCTTTAAACATTAAATATAAGAGCACCCAACCAGTTTACTGGAAATATGAGGGAATGGATTACTACCACATTCGTTCATGATTAGTCAATACTTTCTGCAATACATAAGAACAAAATCTTCCTTTTAAGGCTTTACTAACTCTTGATAATGTTCCAGGACATGGTAGACACTTGCCTCATGTCCACACAACAATGGCCAGAATTAAGCTCTTGGATCAGGATGGCAATGCAGACTTTTAAAGACTACATTTCCCCATTGTCTAGGCATTAGATGCAACATAAGCTGATACACCATAATTACATGAAATCTAGAAACACTACAATATTCACAATGCCATTATCAATATATATAGTATATGGGAAAAATTAAGTGCATAGTAGTGCAATGAATGGTGACAGTATTTGGAAAACATTGTGAATGGCTGTGTACATGATTAGAAGGGAAGAGTTCATTGATTTTCAAGATGGTGTCTTAGACAAATTGGAGGTAAACAATTCCCATCAGCAAGAAATGTATAGCATACTTAAAAGATAAAACACCAGCAATAGGAGGAGGATAAAGAATAGTAATAAAATTACTCCATTACATATAACCTGATTTATCTGATAATTACAGTCAGTACTGGGCACAGAAAGCGAGCTGCTTGTGTAATTTAGAATACATGGGAAGATGTGCGTTTCTTACACAAATAATACAAAATAGGATTAGTCTGGAACAATGTCAAGTCTGGAACATGACCCCCCCCCCCCCTTTTTTTTTAGCCACAAAGAAATTCAACAAATTTGTCACTACTGTATCTACAAATTCAATCTACATGAGCTTTTTCAGTAACATATCCCTCGCGTAGATTAAGGGCCGCCTGTACTTGCTAATTCGTTAATAGGGATATTCCAGGCGAGTGTAAAGTCATGCTAAAACATTAAGAATTAAAGTTGGTCCTGAGACTTTTAAAAGATTAAGCTTTTTTAAATTATCCCATAATGACTTTACTCTCACCGAGATAGATGTGTAATTGTATTAAACTGGTCATATCTCAAACTGGTAAGAATGTATTGTGTGTTGACTGCAATCATCACTTGTATGTGCACTGTCAACTGATTGGCGCTCTCTCTTCTTGCATTCATGAGATTCATACATAATGTATAGATGTTGAAAAATATTTTTCCCAATAAAACCATTCCACATAAGTTGCATTAATAAACCTTTTATAAAATAGGTAAATGATATAACCTATTTAATGGATACCAATTGCATTAAAAATGACTGGGCAGAAATCAGAGTGAGGAATTATGGATTCTGGGACATGGGACAGGCCCAAACTGTTTCTTAATCAGTGGCACCTGCTAGGTCACTGGATGCAACTCAATATGAAGGGCAACCCAGCTGATCTTGACTGCCTCATATCTAAAGATGAGGTACAACTAATGTTGGCTTTCTATCACCACAGGACGAGAAGGGGTTAAAAGACTATGGCTATGATTGTGCTGCAAGTTGCAAACAAATAACAAATGATCACTGGCACACCAGATGTAACCAGTCTCAGAGCATATAAAATCACACAAAAAACTGCAGTAATTCTCATCTTTAGAAGAAGAGTTTTACAGAAACATAATGGAGAAGCCAACCGATTTCAATGTGTGTGTGTAGAGCATAAGTGACTAGAAATGTTAAAGGAAAAAACGTTTCAGGATAGTGTGGGGAAGTGGTATAAGCTACAACTGCACCTCAAGTTGGTTCACAAAACCACCAACCAAGAGGCCTGGTCTCTGATCCTCAGAACCAACGCAAGATAACTGCATGGTAGGACATACGTACAGGTTAGGGGGCTTCACAAACTTAACGTTTCGGAATTCCAAATGAGAATAAGGTAGGCACATTGTGGACATTATCTCAATTTTCAATGCAAGTTGAGAGAACACATACCCTTTTTTATAAATATAAAATTAAATCAATACTCACCACAGATGCTGTAGACAAGGAGAGTTGTGAAGATGAGTGTTTCTAGTCAGCAGCTCATTGCATTTTACCACCAGCACTGAGCCAAGAGAGCACAGCTGGAAACTTTAAACTGCACTAAAAAGGGCAGAATAACAACTGGAAATGACAACATAACATACAGGTACTCAGAATTTTTACCAACATAACAGCGTTCTTCTTTAACTGTACAAAGTCTATAGCAGGGCGACTTACCAGACCACTGGACGAAGTTCCTCATAATCCTTATACCCAAGCTAAACTTACACAAATTTAGCCAAATATCTTAAACTTCCTGCATGTGCAAGGTTCTTGAGAGGATTGTTCTCAGCAGGGTAATGGTGCATATATATAGTCAACTTACTCCTAACATGCAAGGCTTTTTCCCCGGTTGAAGTACATAAACATACTGTACCAGGTACTTCAGGTAGGAATAAAGGGGTTGTGTAGCATTTCTTTGTCTCCTAGATGACTGACACAGCTAATAAGGAATTCATCCTGGAACAATTATAGTAGTCTATTTTTGTTGTCTGAATAAATTCATTGAAATGCACAAAATAGTCACTAGGCATTTATGGTAGTGAGTGGAGAAAAAATTGCATTTCTTACAATTTGTGTGATGTATACATGCACAAATTAGTTGGCCTAATTTCCTGTAGTCAGTGGGTCAAAGCATTTCTATATATTGACATGTTGCCAATTCAGCTACACTAGTCAGGAGTCACTCGTTTCACCCCACCTTGTTGGGCAGAGAAAATTCCTATATTGATGCCATACTGGTACAGTACTTCTGAATAAGCTAACAGCATCCTCGCCAAAAACACTTACTGATGATTTCTTCCCAGTCTTGAAACAAAGAGGTAAAAGAAGAGTACTGTATTTTGCAATCATAAAATGTGTATACAGTTTACTACAAATTGGGAGGGGAAAACAAAATGATTGTTCCACAAATCAAAGAGAGAGCAAGTAATCATACTCACAAAGAATGAGAGGAGGGGATGAACCAGCCTTGCTTGATCTGATATTTACCCTAAATGAGTCGGATATAAGGGAAGTTAAGTTGGAAGCCCCCTTGGGAATGAGTGATCACAGTGTATTGAGCTTTGAGTACCTGGTTGAGCTAGGAATTATCACCCCCAAAAAAGAACTGGGAACCAAAGGGCTGGCGTACCGAAAGGGAAACTATGAGGAAATGAATAAATTCCTATGGGATATACATTGGGACAAAGAACTCGGAACCAAGTCCGTACAAGACATGATGGACTATGTCACCCAAAAATGTCAGGAGTTATATGCTGCATATAACCTATCGAATAATGAGACATTAAGAAAAACAAAGGGGCAGGAAAAAAAAAAGGTAAAAAATAAACTAGGTAGCTCAAATCATGAGCTATGAAATAAGGATTAGATGGCATAAGAAAGACAAATGAAATGGAATGGCAAGGATAGATCAGTTGAGGCAAGATATTCAGGGCGAGAAGAGCAAGATAGAAGGAAGAGAATGAGAGGACTTAGCTATTTAGGACTGCTCCAAAAAATACAGTATGAGCAAGCTATGGAACATAAGCTGGGGGGATTAAAAGACCAGAGACTGAGGATTTCTCCTCCTAAGAGGAAGGAACTATTTAGTTTCCTTCTCTGGTTGAAAGATGGCACAGGGTGTAGAGGGTTGATGATAACCCCAATGTACAGTCGTTGATGTCAGGAATAGTTTTAAATGGAGGGATAAGTTAGGTGGAGCCACAAGTGGAGGGTGGGTACAAGTAGGTAGAAAAAGTGTGGAAGTTCCATTAGATGTGGCATTCTGTTTGGCCTACTGGAGATCAGAGCCAAAACCTGTCAATACCAAATGCTGCCACTAGGCAGCCCGGAGCTCATTTCAGTGCCAGTTCTGTAGTTCAATGTTCTCGGTTCAATGCCAGATAAAACACAGCAATGAATCAGCTAACACGAAGGAAGAAGCTATATGCCTGCAGGTTGCTCCAAGCAACAGCCTGTTGGACCAAGCTCTCACGTCAAGCCTGGCTCCATGCCAGGCTTGGGAGTAGAACAACTCCCAGAACCCAATCCAGGGAGCTACTGGGCTCTACCAGAAAGACATTCAATGCTGGGTTTCTGGGGAAAGGTGGGGAGCTAAATAACCACATAGAAAAATGGAGGGACTTAGAGAAGAGGAGGCAGGAATCGACTCTGATTAGAAACCAACGGCCAGGGAACATGACCAAGGGCAACATTGAAGAGGACCAGGGATATTGACTAAATACCTGGCCATCATGACCCTGTTAGATTGCCAAAAGCCCCAAACCCACATATCTGCCCAAGGCTTGGAGAAGACTGTCACGAGTTTTATACTGTACTTGCAAACACCATGGGCCTGAGGAAAGACTGCAGGCTGGCTGGCCTTGATTCTAGAGGACAACCTGGGAAAAAATAAGCCTTGAAACAGGGAACCAAGGAGACCAGATCAGCCCATAAAGTTTCCTCTGAACACCGTATGGGGCAATTCCAAAACATCCATCTCGGCACAAAGATGCAAATGCTGATACCATGCAAACCAAGCCCATAATGCAGCAGCTGCTTGAAACTCCTCCACTTTAGAAGCAGGATCAGAACCTGTGGGGAACAAACCCCACAGTATTCGGGGTCGTAAGTATCATTGACCCAACAAGTATGGCAAGAGGCAAAAAGAAGGGTCGTTGCCATTTAGAAAGGCAACAGTGTCATGTTGGCTTACCGCTTTCTTTTTCTAAATCTACTTTTTAGAAATTAACACAACCAGTACTAATCTATATATATTAAAGTATACTTACAGACCCAGGACAAAGGTACAAGAAAACAAGTGAGTAGTCATACTTTATATATTTTCTTACTTGATCCATGTACAGCTGTGCTTGAAAAATAAAATCCTTATTTACACTCTTCCACACTTATTTCTCAAGCAAGGTTTCACTACTTGTGAAAAAGTATATACCGAGGATATTATGCATAGTACGTAGCAGTTGCCTTCTCCAAGAACAGAGCCGAGTCACAAACTCCTGCTTCCCTCAGCAAGCAAAGCAGCAACAAGAAGCACTAAAAGAAACTGTGCAATGCATTTTTACTCGCTCACTAGTGTGAGCAGGCACTTGGTGCTCAAAACATGAAATTAGTAGAAACCAATTAAAAAAGCAAAGCTACGCTATGTTCTACCAACAGTACCAAATTTTTTTTTAATAACTTCTACTCTTCCCATAACATTTTAAGTAATTTTATAAAAAATAATTATGGTATTTGTCAAACCCATTGTATTTATTGTTCAAACAGTTCCTGGCCAATACAAAAATAGTTAAAATTTAAATCAGTAGCCATGACTTGGGCTAAGATTATTTTAAAAGAAATAGAAAATTCACAGATGTAAAAACTGATGTAAAACTAAAAACTTATAAAAACATTAGTTACAATGAGTTGAGTAATGGGGTCAAGGCTGAGAGAAGAGACCGAGAAGTTACACCTCTCAAACTGCTGTCCCTTGAGTTTAGATTACATTTTTAAAGGATGTAAAAACTGTATTAGAATACTTTATACTAAGCATTAGCTTTTGTGACAATACAAAACAGCCTTACAATTGACATTCTTGTTTTGCCATTTCATTATCAATAATTGGAAATTTCCACATTTATGATAATTTCTTCTTTGACTAGTCCACCTGACAACCCAGTGTTTGTTTATTTGAAAATAGTTACTCATTTAAATAATATGTACCTAATAACAAAGGTGAGTTATGTTGACTTTGTTACTACTACTTCAATACTACTAAGCACACTACTACTACTAATCTAACATGCTCAAAAGTTTCAAAATATAAATAGCAAGAATTTCATCCAAGATCAATACTATGCTATTTCAATCAGCAAGCAAAGCAACAAGCTTATCTAGAAATTTACAATAAAAAAATTTGTTCAACAAAACCTCTTATGATATTCATGCAAAAAACGGTACCACCTTTCTAATTGGTAATGAACAACGAGAAGTTTTGCCATAGGCTACTCGAGCATTGATTAAGTCAACATTAGGTAGTCTTATGAGTCACAGCTGAGCATTATGAAAGCTACTGCAGCAAATGTGGGCAGCTAACAGATCATGAAATAAGAAATAGAGTGGCAGATTCCCTTCCTTTAAAAACTTAAAATCCAGAATAAAACCGAGAATACAGGATCACTTTTGTTCCATGTCTCAACCAACCTGACAAAGGTACAAAATAATCAGGTGATGGGACACTTAAGCTTATCTAGTTTTATAACCATTTAAAATTTCCTCATCAGAAAGCATTAAAGCACCATTCATAAACCAGTTTTCTCAATTGCTTAGTGTCAAAGCAATAGCTTAGAAAGAAAATAAATATGTAAAGTACTGTACATCTCTTAAAGTACATGGAACAAACCTAACGGCTAAGGTGCATCAAATTACTGCACTTTCAAAACAAAAAGTAACATTTACATATATTGATTATTGACATAGGAGCAAATATTAACATTTATTTTCAATAAATAACAGAATTCAAATTACACATCCTCGGTCTGGACTGCCATACATGTATCAGTATCCCAACCACAGCAAACAACCTTAATTAATATGGAGCAATGGAGCAGTGATGACACCTTCTTTGAGATAGTCACAGATTCATAATTATTGTAATAACCATGAGTATAACTATATGTACAAATATATATGCATGTATATATATAAATATATACACACACACACACACACACACAGCCTTTGGGGAGAGACTGGCATAAAATGTAAGTGCGCTAGAGAATAACTTGCCATTTTAGGTTATACCTGAGCCTGAGAGTTGTTCAAGATACATGTGGCACTGTGCACTAATCACTCATCCAGAGCCTTACACCACTCCAAGATACCACCCAACAAAGGCGCACTACAAACCTAGGGGGGGAGGGGGGGAGGGGGGGCTAACAATATCTATTGTCAGGCTTCTCATAAGTAATAAGCATATCTACATCCTCCAATGTCATTAGTACATTCCCAATGTGAAGAAATACCAATTAAAGAAGAATTATAACTTTGCCACTTGTATTGACAAAGAATGAGACAAGGTTACATTTTCTAACTCAAATATTTACACTACTGCACAGGGTATCACATTTAATATACTAAAAAAAAAAAATTATATATATATATATATATATCTACAAAATGTTTAAGTCATAAAAATGCATTCCTACAGCAAATTTAATTCTGAATAAGTTTCATGTCTTTGCAAACCATATAAAAACTAACTTAATCTTCACCTGGTGAAGTAGTATCTTCTTTGTGGTGCCATGTTATTTACCAAGATTGTCTGTAAAAACTGGATCCCTTACCTACTGCCAAATTAGTCCTCCACAATCCTATTTTGAGGGATGCACATCTCTTAATTTAGAAAAATACTATACTGTAGCTAAAAATTAAAAACTAATAAATTCTTGCCAGGTGACAGTTGATTAATAAATACTGTAATTCAATGTCATTTTGCAGTCTTTTCATAATCATAACACTTGAAAGTATACCACTAACAGTTGTCCAATACAGTAGAACCTTTTTATTTTAGTATATTGAAAATTATAGAAAGCATAGCTTTTTTTTAACTGTCAATATATATACTGTACTGAATACTGAATATACAATATCAAAAGATTTTCTTATAGAGCAGATCATTTATTTTGCAGGACTTGTTTACATGACGGACTTTTAATTAAACAATTTAATATAAACTGCTGCACACCATGTAAAGATCAAGTTTTTGAGCAATAATTTGTTTAAAAAGGTTAAAAGGTGCAAAGAAAAACTTAAAAAGATCAATTATTTTTAAAACCGTTAGCAATAACTTCGGTGAATTAAAGAGGTTTTACTGTAGATTTCCGAACTGTTAACTTGACGAGGTAAGTGCTACAGGTAATTCAGAGAGCGAGAGAATCTTCCAAGAGCTGCTTTACCTCGCGTGTATGGGTCTTCTTGTTGCCAGTAGCGGGTGATGCAGAGACAGGACGCCCTGCATACCTGAAGTAGAACAATGATTTCCTAATTAGACAGTTGAAACATGTGTATGATAAAATTAAGGCCTGGTATTGGTTAATTGTTCAGCACCTGCAGTTAAATACAGGCAGCCATATGCATTCTGGACAATTTTTTTTAAAGATTACTGAAATTCAAATAAGCGAGTGGTTTGTGTACTTTACTCTTGTTTCTAATTTTAATGATATGGAGAGGTATAATGCTAAGAGGAAATAAGAGAAATACTGTATAGTTCAAAGATGGTTAATGATGCCCCACACCTTTTAAAACAAGTCGGCGAATAAATCTATTACTAACACAAGCATTGCAGCATGAGTACTATAATTCAATGGAAATAGACTTGTACCTTAATTTAATTTTGAACTTTTCACTGTTATCAAGCCAACACGAGTGAAATTCTGGTACATTTCTTGCCTAATGACAATCACTCAAGGAAATGTTGCACTTGCTCGCCAATCACCAGCAAGTCTTTTGAAGAACGCACACATTGCTCTCGTCACACAACCCTGAATACTTGCATAAAATCAAAACTTTTTACTCTTCACAATACTGCCCAAGAATTGCTTATTCTGTTCAATGTGACAAGCTGCAGATTGTATTTTTTTAAGGGTAATTTATTAAGATATAAAGGCTTTTTGTTAAATTTTGAAAATGAATATAATAAACATGGTGTTTTCATGTGATGACCCAATTTCAAGGCAAACCTTAGAATTGGGGTCCAAGCATTTTTACATGAAACGTGTCCAAGACTCACTCTGCGTCTTACAACTGCCTTTTACAAGTGCAAATTAAGTACTATACTTCTTCAGTCGTAGTGCTGCATTAGGCAACCTACAAGAACTATTCTACACAGCCATATAAAAAATTACTAGATTTGATTCAGATAAATACAAATTAAGTTAGATATCTGGTCTAATCAATGGAGGAAGCTTCTAAATATTGTACAAACAATATTCTGAAATATTTGTAAACATATTAATCCTCCCTCTTCAAGTCTTCCATCTTGCCCTCCCTCCCTTTTCCTTACTAGGGCGACTGACTAAATATTCATTACCCTGCATAATTATTCATAAAACATAAGTTTACAGGTACTCTCACATGCACAAGATAAAGTCAAAGTTAAACATTTACAGGGATGGATGGATGGATAAATAAATAGAGACGAAGAACAACCAGCAGATAATTTAAGAATTTAAGTTCAAAATATTTACATAAGACTAATGCTTCTGGATTTTAAAAAGTTGAGCGAGAGAGAGAGAAAAAAAAAAAAAAAAAGTTTACAAAGGGAGTAGTAAGTGTTGCAATAAAGGATCTTCATACATTGTAATACATACAACTTCTGAAGACATTCCTATAAACAACTATATAATATATATACTTGTACTGAATAAATGAAAATGGGTGGTGCAAAACTTACTAATATTGCAATTAAAACTACAGTACTGGGATGATCCCCGAGCATGAGGGCACACGTGTATAATATTTACTGTATTGTCGTCATGATATCCCTCAAAGTCCTACTTCCAATGAAAGCTGTATTTGTCATAGGACTACAGTGCCCAATTTGAATACAAACTTTCGTTTTACAATCCTACACATGAAGAGAACTAATCAGGAGAAAGCACCAAGCCATTATGACTATATAGCACTGGGAAGGGGTCAGGATAAGGATTTGGGATGGGATGGGGAGGAAAGGAAAGGTGTCCAACCACTTGGACGGTCGGGGATTGAACGCTGACCTGCATGAAGTGAGACCGTTGCTCTACCATCCAACTTAAAGTGGATGGGCTTACAATCTTACAACTATTGCAAGTTTCAAATCAATATGAAAAGGAGGCCTTAAGTTATTGTATGGAAACTGTCAAACAAATAGTACTAACTAGAAATGGTATGGAGATGAAACAAATCACATAACAGACATTCATAAATCAAAATCATGATTTCTGATAATCTTTCAGCTGGCCAATTGTATTAACACTTTTAAACTCCATATCTCAATCAACAACTACCAGATTGCAATTGGAGGCCATTGTTAACATCAGTCTTGGTATGTGCAACTTGTGCCAACTCAAACTACTATTACATCTAAGCATTAAGTTAAAAAAACAAAAAAAAAGGTCCCTTGACCAGAGGTGAATTTAATAGAGAAAGACCAGGATGAAGTAATGAACTGTGAGGCAGTGCTCACCTCAACACTCTGGTCTCAGAGGCTACTGGAGTATCTCTTTTAGGTGGGATGGGGACGTCTGTTGGGCTTGAGGATGAGAATGGCCAAAACCAATACTCATACCAAGACTGAGACTCGTGGTCCTTAGAATCATTCTCGACCTTGTCACATTTGCTACAGAAGAGCAGTAGTAAATGGTTAGTTCTCAACTAAAGGCTTTTAGGTACACATTCAAGTGTTGCTTGCAGAATATGAAGATCATTTAATAAAACTGTACTTGCTGGTAAACTATAAAGATACATTCCACTGCACAATACTATTAATTCCAATTTCTCACTTTGAAGGGTGGCAAGGCATCAGATCAGAAAACACAAACAAGGTGAATAACTTGAAGAATGGCTCAAGGTATTCAAATTTAAAAATCACTTATTAGATCATTCACAGTACATAACATCACAGATAAACAACCACCACCAACACTTTACCAGTCCTCTACATCATCACCCTACCACTTTGCAAGATCCAATGTACAGTATTCGTGAATTGTCAGGCATAGAACAAGCACATTCATTCCCTCCAAACAAACCACTTACACCCAGTCTTGTGTCTTACCACATCCCATGTGTTGTTTACACATTTCCCACATCATTCATCCACCCATTTTTTCTACCTTACTCTCCTCCTTTCCTAGGATCCTAACACACTAACTACACCAGCCAGTTTGCCATCATTCATTCATCCTAACATAAGCAACACTAGAAAAACTACAGAGCACTCCTGATTCTAGCTTATGCCAGAAATGGCATTTACTTAAATAGAAACATGTAACTGGAGTGCCACTGTTAAGTCTTATTCCAGTTATCTTATAACATCCATGCTCATTTCAAGAATCATTCAACTGCAATCTTCAAAACATAATGGAAACAGAACAAGCATATCATGTAACTTATGCTAGCTAACTTAATAAACAAATTTTAAATTTATGCAGATTATAGAGATATTCTGCTATAATAAAAACAGGAAATAAAATTTTGTAATACTGTATAACCAATATATTTAAATTAATTATAATATAGGGGTACCACCTCTGGTGCAATTTAAATGAAATATATTTAAATTACTGAAGAAACTCGGCTTTTAATACTAATTCTGTCGGTGAACTTTTCAACAATTATAACTACTCGTGGTGGAACCGGTGCACAAATGCTACACAATTGAAGCTTTTGGAGCCTCACTGGGAGAACCACATCATGGCACATCTTCCTGCCCATGTTACAATTTGGTATTTTGAGCAAATATATACACAAAAAGAGTGGATGTAAAACTAGTTTATAAAAGTGAGAGAAAAACCATTTCAATGACAATCTGAGTTCATTTATCTGGTGCTTTAACTCTGGGCTACTCTTGCAATTATAGCCTGCAACACGCCCAGGTGCAAGAGAAAAAAAAATTCTTATAGAAAGTGTTCATTTGTGTTTCCTGATCATGGAAAAAATAATAAAAATCGTAGGTGGCATATTTTAGCCGCAATAGGGTTGGGATGTCTGGTGAAAAAGAAAAAAACGTTGACAGAGCAAGTATTGAATGAGGTCTGCTCCGTCAGAGCAGTCAGGAGGGAGTTGTCAAAGATGATATTACCCAATTATTTCAATGTCTTATTTTTCCTCTTATTTTGCAGTACAGCTGTAATATTATTCAATAGTGTGTAGTGTGATATATTTATATAATAAAATATGTGAACCAACTGTACAACTAGGCTGGTATGGTGAGGCATGACATTAATTGAGGTCACCACAGTCGGCTGATGCTCCCTCCCTCAGTTGCCAGCATTCCTACTCCCACTATACTCTTTGTGCATTTTTTTACACTATATTCACAACAAAATTACATGACAGACAGCAGCCAGCACTATGCCACCTCTGTCACCAAAATGGTTTCTCCCAACATACTCCTTTTGCTGTTATTTCACTATACACACACGTTACATATAAGCATCTACATTTGTGTTCACCATAGCGAACCCCTAAGCTGGTATGGTGAGTGCAGACAACAACAGGTGGCCACACAGTCAGCAGATGCCACCTCCCTCAGAATTACTCCCGCCCACACAACACTAATTATCACAACAATCCTGCTACTGTAATACTACCATTGCTAAATAATACCAGTTCCATACAGTAGTTAGGTAAGGTCTATGATTAATATGTTCCACTTTTTTGTTATGCTGATTAGTATTTCAATAGTACAAAACGAACTTTTTTGGGTGTAACAGTTCATATTTTTGTACATACAGTACCATCAATGTCAGAAAAAGAGGAAAAATGAACAGACTGTTGAAAGCAACAGTAACTGTCAGATATGGACAAAACAACCAAGTGATGACCAGAAAGACCAAGTCATCTAAAGCCTATTGAAACTGAACATTTTCTGTGTAGCACCAATTATGATTTCCAGTTTTATCTTTTAATAATTAAAGTTAAATTTGTACTTCAAACATTTAATGCATGTGTAAAGCCTTATAGAATTCTCAAATAAAAATGATTATCTATAATATTTGCACTACGAAGAAAATCTCTCAATCCATAGTGAAATTATTATCGTTAAACTCATTACTTACGCAATATGTCTCTCATGATTGAGTGCAGTAGCAATGCGTGGTTGAATGTAAGACCAGGGACCCATGTTCTTGTGCTCCTCCTGCGACCAGACCAATTCAGCATCTGGATACTTGTCACATTCTTGCTTTATCAAGTCATATGGGAATGGGGCAATCTGAGAAAGGGTGCAACAATTTTAATCAGCATTAAAAACTAGAAAATTATTTAGAATGTATTTGCAAGTATATATTTAAAAATTTAATTTGTAATGTACTGGTTAATTTTGTATGACTGCATAAATACAATTTTTAACTGAACTAAATTGAAAATGTATTAAAAGTTACATGAAGTTACTGTATTATAAATTAACAAATTGTACAAATGGCATTTCTATTTTCAAACAGATGAACAGAAATATGCTGAAGCTGCCAGAAGCACTCTTAGCCATAGTCTCTCTATATGCCGAACATTTTAAAATTGGTGTTTTGACCCAAAACCTTATTTAGAGAGCCCAATGAAATTCGGGTATTAGGATGGTTCGAATAAATACAGCTCGGCTTGGGGTTGGTGACTGTATAGCATGGGAAATCGCCCCATTTAATAATTTGAATTATTTTATGGTTAATATGGAAAAAAATAATAAACTTAAAATATTAAAATTTAATCATAGATGCCTTTAAATTATTACCTGTTCCACTCTAGTAATGGCAATGGAATCCTCAATACCAGCTTCCCTGCGAGCAGCAATCAGGTCATAGTAGACTTTGCCAGAGCAGAAAATTAGTCGTTTCACACCTGCTACATTCTTTGCTGCTGGGCCCTTCTCTGGGATTATTCTGATGTAAAAATGGAACGAACAACTTTACTTTACACTCTTCTTAACAGTAATATCTTCTTAATTATAATAAAATGGTTTGCTTAGAACAGCAAATAAGTCACATCCAGCTGTCACTCGTGCGTCAAATGGTACACGTGTATGAAAGCTAGACACAGGTCAGTAGAGATTAAAACTTAATAAAACTTCATAATATTACCAAGCACAGCATTCAAAATATCATCCTTACTCCTTTCCACCACTTCCCCCATTTACTTACTGAAGATGGTAATGAGATGAGGTAAGATTATACATGACTGTTTGCAAATGATGCTCAACTGATGAGAAGGGAACAAAATGGACAACTGTGCAGCATACAGAAAATCAAAACCAGGTTGAAGGAATGGGCAGGCTACTGCCCATTCCTCCTACTGGTGTTGGTTCACAATAATATGCAGCAAGGTGGTTTGCAAGAGGGGCAAGGAGACCAGAAGGGCAGTACAGTTTACCAGTAAGGCAAGTGGAGTATAAAAATATTAGAAATAGAAACTAAATAGTGGATGTAGCACCACACACACACACATTAATAGAACATAAGCTCCTTAGGCAAGACAAATACACACAGCATATGCTAGGTTTGCAATATCATTTTCTTTAGTACTTTGGCTATGACACCTTCTGGTGCAAAGTCCCTTCAATTAGCATATCCACAGGATGTACAATTCTTGGTAATGCTTATGACAGACAGCTCACAGAGGTTGTAAAAAAAAAAAAAAAAAAAAAAAGGTCAGCTCAGAGCGATAATCCTTATTCAGAAAAGTGCACTCTCTACTATAGTGACAGCGACGAGGTATAATGTGCATTTCTGTCCAATTACATCATATTGGTCATGCCACATGTAAAATGTCCCGAAGGAAAATTTCTGCAGTGGCACAGGGTACACACTCAAATTTGTTTACTTAAAGTTTACAGAGTAGGTTTGTGGAATCCTGCAGGATCCAGTCCAATCCTTCAGGAATGATCCCTAGTCTTAATCATTTGGTAACAACTCTTGCAATACTGTACTGCCTTAACTGGCACTGCAGTCAATAATAGGGAAGCACATTCCAATCTGGTCTTCAGCAATGCAACAAAAACATATGCATGCTATACACAATGTAAAAAAGTTCCTCATTATCTTCAATCAAGATTTAACTGAATGTGTTTAATTAGTCAAGTGTGGTCACCTTCACACGATCCCATCACTAAGGCATGACACTTTGAAGGGTTCACACCGAGGCTCTACCATGAGGAACTGTGACATTATGGTATATGCAAATTTCCTTTATCAACCTTGATTTGCTGGAATAAACAGATTCCACTAACCCTTATTCCCTCCCTTATTTTTGCAGTGTTCACCCTCAATTACCACCACTTCTTGCATACTCACTTGTCTCACATCATGCATCATCTTCAGATGCTCCGAATGTTTATGGTCGAATATGCACCGACTGGTCAGAATATTAGTGTTAAAAGTGGCGGTGGTGAAGCAAGTGAGTAAAGAGAAGCTTGAGAAGTGCTAAATAGATGGATAAGAGATGAAACGAACAAAAAGTACTAGTCATGGAGGTTGCCTCCATCCACAACTTCAAGAATGCACCAGATAGAGCTAGACCTAACTCACCTATAGCCCATATTATATAATCACATTCTCTACCATGGAGATATGGATAATTTTAAAAATGTAATTGTTCATGTGAGTGCATGAAAGAGTTCTGTACCCTGAACTCCAACAATAACATTAAATTATTGAAACAAATTGCCTATAGAAGAAAATACCTCCAAGGCCTCCAGAAAAACAAAAATGTATTCCATGAAGATTTCATTTTTAAGCCTTGAACCACAATATAACCAGATGTGGTACCCAAAATATACAATAAAATACATTCATCCAAATCTGAAGTCATTTGATAAAGCATTAAAAATTAATAAAGTTTGAAAACATATAAATCTCAAAATTTCACACAATGCAAAACTTTGAAATTGCCAGCTTTTCAGAAAAAGTCTAAGGGTATACAGTATAGTAAATCAACTACAGTATACCTTTGGAATTCAGTTCCTTCCACCATTTCATCGAAGGAAGATCTGGCTTCTGGGTGTCTAAGAAGAGATTTGGGGGTCATGATAATCAGTGGCTTTCGGAAAGGAAGAGCAATCTGTCGTCGAAGGATGTGGAACAGGTTGGCAGGAGTAGAGCAGTTGGCGACCTGTCAATCATTATACATTATAGTACACAATTTCATACATCACTATATTTTTCAATCACATATTTCTACATATTTAGTGTTCCAAACCCAACAAACAATTGTCTGTATACCAACATGAATCGCTTCAATTTATTGCAATACCTTAAGATCCCTTTTATACAACCTTGTGTGTGTTCCTGTAGTCTTAACTTTATATTGAACCCTCAACTTCCTAATCGCTGTCAAATGTCTTTAATACTACAAAAGCTCTCAATAATGTAACTAGGAAAGTGCATCGGTATAGATCTAATAGTTTTACAAAATTGATTAATTTAAGAAAAAATAACTTTAAATGTATAACAAAGAAAGCACCTACAAAATTTAAAGATTTGTTTTAGATGTTATATACTGTACAATGTATCGGAATACAGTATTTCTCAAACAAAAAAAAATAAAAATGTAAGTATCATTAATGTTTCAAATCTTTCTACATCAACAACATGTACTTACTATCCAGTTAATGTCAGACAACTGTCTAATTGCAAAGTCAGATGAGAAGGCAGGAAGAACATCAGGATCATCAGAAGTCATCTGCAGGAACCGTTCAATGCGGCCACTCGAGTGCTCAGGACCCTGCGCGCGCGTACAGTATTAATACATTCTTATAAACAAAATTTATTGACACCAAATCCTGCCAAATATATTGGTGTACAAGATACACTAATTTATAGATACATTTACTTTTTGTTGAACAAAATCTAATTTTATGAAAGCGTTTTGAACAATATAAATAAAGCTTCCATACATGAAAACCATTCTTACTAGCAAAAATAATGCAAACTGCAAACAGTAACTGATATTGAGCTTTAAAGATTACTGTAAATTTAAAAGATCATTGTATTCAAATAAAAAAAAATAAAAAATAATGGATGAAGAAAAAAGGCAGAGGCAGATTATACATTAAATGGCCTTATCTGTACCTTTATAGAACACATTTATTAATACATCAATGTTGCAACTGCACTGAAGGTCTGGGGAAACCTTGATAGAGATAGTCAACAAACCTACATGCAGCAAGATGAATGCTAGCAATAATGTGGTGGTGGTGGTTATCAAAAACTCAAATCCAACAATAGAAGAGCAAGGGAAGAGAACAAGAGGATAAAAGCCAGGCAGATCATAGAGGGGGTAGCAATGACAGCAACTGGAATGAACACCTTAGTATTAGGTAACTTTAGGAACCATGTAATTGACTGGACATTCCTACTCTCCACTATAGGAATGGCACGTGGAGAGCAAAATTAGTGGGTATCATAGAAAGGAAATGCTTGACAACATACTGTATTGTGAAGCCAGAGTTAAGAATGAGCTGCAGCTAAAAGCCTTAGAACTTAAAAACTTTTATTCCACAAGTGTGACAGAGGCTAAAATACAAGCAGCCACTGGGAGCAAATGACCACTGCATTGTAGTATTCAACTCAAAAAGATCGAGAAGGAAACTAGATTATTTAAGGATATATTATGTTAGGAAAAGGGTTTTCTTGGATGAAGCCCAATGGAAAAGTGCTGTAAAGGAGACCAGATGAGAATGTTCATTACCCAGAAATGTGCTGATAATGGAAAAATGGAGGATGAAAATGGAGCTTGGAACCCTACCTTGTGTAGGGTTCACTCCCTAAAGTGATGTGCCTTCCCATGACGTTGAAGAAAAACTGATGAATAATGAGTTCCCAACCCAAATGTGAAACTATCTCCAACACCTACACACCAAAAGGTTATTTCTACTTACCATGCCTTCCATGCCATGAGGTAGCTGTAGGACCAGACCAGTTTGTCTAATCCATTTGGATTGTCCAGAGGCCATAAATTGGTCAATGATGCACTGTGCAGTGTTGTTGAAGTCCCCAAACTGAGCCTCCCAAATCACCAAGGCATTAGGATTGGTCATCGAGAATCCCAGCTCAAAGCCCAACACTGCATACTCGGACAGTGATGAATTACAAACAGTGTATGGGGCTTGATCAGGGTACATATTTGCTAGAGCGTTGTAATATGATTTGTCAACCTGAAGAATACAAAAAAAAATTTGGATTACAATAAAATGGCTCTCTGAACAGTAGCAATAACATTGTATCTTAATACCTCACCAAGACTATGTAGAACATCTGAAGAGATTACACACAAGTGCACCCACACTTCACGTTTTAAAATTTCTTTATGAATAGTTTCAGTATAATGGAGGGGACAATAATTGTGCACTATAATTAAAGAGAAGCTACTAATATACCAAATGAACAGAGCATAGAGTACATTGCTTTAGGAAAATAGTGATTATAACTAAATAGAAGCCAAGAGAAACCAACACAGGTAAGGGACCGTCAGAGATCACACTTTCCAGCACATACATATAAAACGGTTTATATATTTGTCTTAGGAGTCCCTCTCTGTAAGTAAACATGATTGCATAGAAACACCTCACATTAAAAGCTAGAAATAAAATAAACACATACTTACCAAAATTGCCTATGAACAAAGCCTCAGTGCATTGTCACTCAACACAAAACTTTCAATGCATCTTTTAAGATCTTACAAATGTAAGCTTAACAGACAATACTTGTGAATAATTTGTGCTATTTTTCCATTTTTAATATCCAACTTTAAAAATACAGCTTTGGGTAAATATGAAAAGCATCTTTCTGAATTGCACCATTCAGTTGCTCCTTAAGGCAAGGATCATGACAATCAGACTAAAGATAAACTAGGCACCTGAACCATGGAAAACTTTTCAAATGGTCCTAGCAATTTGATTACCCAGTCTGAAGCAGCACCTTATTAGAAATGAGAAGGGGTGAAAGTGAAAATGTTCAGTTGAACTACTGGAACTGACTAAACTGTGTACTGTATATGCAAGCAAGACGTGCAGTGAAAAGGCCGAGCACAGAATTCTGAACAGCTTCGGCAAATAATCTGGCCGAAGTAGCTGCTGCTGCAAAAGTAAACAAGCACAGGCAATTCAGTTCCACCAAACTTATGCCATTCACAATGCAGCTAAGAGAAGAGTTTCTGGTAGCAGAGATAAATAGTATATTAATAGGAAGGAATGTTGGTAGGTAGGGAGGCTATGGAAGGTAGGGAGGCTATGGAAGGTAGGGAAGCTATGGAAGGAATGTTAGTATGGAAGTTAAGAAACAACTGCAAGATAGCATAACACTACCAGCCCTGACATGAAATGAAACTTGGGTATGGCAAGGAACAGTGCTCAAAGAAGTGAAAATTAGCTTGAGAAAACTAGCCCAAGTACGTGAAATGGTAATATCAATGGTGAAATATAGGAAAAATGAGGCAAGAGTAAAAGGGATGAGAAAATGATGAGATGAGAAGCAAAAAAGCACACTGAGGTGTATGGATATGTTAAACAATACTTGGGCATACTAGTAACGAGAAGGGTGTACAAGGTTACAATAAAAGGATTACCTGGTAGAGAAAGAACCAGTATCTTGAAAGGGAAGAGTGGAACAATGTATTAAGAAGTGGAGGGGGAAGGGATAATATGGATTCAGAGCTTGAAAGAGAGGTGTGTGGTAATAGTCCCTCGTAGAGCAAATTTTGCTATAGCAACCCTCTAATGGGCTGCTTCCTGGAAAGTAAGTATCAGGGTTATACAGTACAGTATATAGAAAAACATCAGCTAAGTGAATATGCTTTTTTAAATCCTCCACAATGAGGCACTTTGCTAAAGGGGAAAAACTAAATGTCAATTTTCAGATTTTCCCCATTTAAACTGTCAGTAGGAAATTTTTTAGAGAAATGAAGCCTAAAAAAAAGGACTCTTCCACTTGACACTGGACCCACAAAATAGCAGCATTTCACTACTGAAAACAAGAGGATTACCTACTAGCTAATAAGGAACAATGAGCTTAACTTGGGATGGAAACTAATAAGTATTATACAGACCCAATAAGTCACAATAACATAAATGAAAATTAGACACCCAACCTGCACACAAACTAAAGTGACAACATTTCGGTTCATCCTGGACCGTTATCAAGTCTCAAGCTGAGCAGAGGAATAGACAATACCCCCCCCCCCCACCAATGTAGAAATACTGTATGCATGTCTGCCTAGAAACTAGCATCAAAACATAGTTAAGTAGAAATTAGACCAAATTTGATTAATAATGCCTCAGGCTGACAAACCCTCTCTCACAAGAGAAAGGGCCACAGGGAAAACACCAATCCTTGGCCACTACCTAGGCACAATGGCTTATAACACACAAGCTAATGGCTTTTGTGGACAGTGAAGAAAATACAACATGGAAAAGTTGGGGTATGACAGGAAATTGAAAAAATCCATGTTGTGCTGGTGTAGCTCTACTCTGATTATCCTAATCCTGTCCAGTGAGATCTTAAGTGATCCTGCCTTTGGGAGAATTTGAATGGAATAGATCAAAAATAAATTTTCTGTGAATAATGATGTGTGGAGCATAAAAAAATACACAACAAACTGTACCCATGTACAATAATAAAATAAGTAAAGAAACTGATGCTTATACTGGGTTCTATGAGAGTTTTGCTATAAACAAGCTCACCTGCATTTTCCCATTAAAATTATTTACAAATTCTTGACAACACGGTATCCAAGAAGTCACAAATCATAATATATAACATGCAACGGCACACACACACACAAACCCATTCAACAATTCGACAAACAAAAGTAAAGATAACTTCACAAAAGCATAAAATGTGTGTACAGGTGCCCATACGACCCAACACAAACATTTAACCAAAAATCCATGCAAATATGGTACTCTTAAATGTTTTGCTACAAAAAGTGATGATTTTTTAACTGAAAAGAATCCTCAAAAACTCCTTTCCTTTATAAATATTTTAAATCCTTTTGTCCCTTTTATGATTCAATATTACAGGCATCATCCACCCTTTATACTTTGTATCAAGCAAAGTATATAGTTGCCATTTAACTTCCACTAGCAAGATAAACCTATCGAGACCCCTCACTTACAACAGTTTGCAATACAGTACCATTTAAAGTTTATAGAAAGTTAGCATTTAATAAACATACATACTTGCCATGAGAAACACCTGGCCTTAGTCACTTATGAGGGAAGTAATGGCATGTCCTTTCTTCCTATATTACAATGCATCACTACTACTACTACTATGTATTTTCATGTTATATACCATCTATTTTACATAAAAAACTCTGTACAGTACATGTAAATCTAAGGAGCACTTTAATAACATTTCAGTGTTGCAATTTAAAGATTACTAACAAGCTCTGTGATAACCAGTTAACCAAATAGATCCTCTGTATTTCAAAACCATAGAAATTAAAATATAAATATGCTGCATTACTACTTACACTAGAAGGTTTTAATGCAATTTCACCCTTCAGGCAGTGAGTAAAAGGCAATTCTTAGAAATTAGTGTGCATGTTCAATAAAGTTGCAAATATATTGCGATACATATACTGTACAACCAGTCCTCAATTAATGAACAGGATGTGTTCCAAAAAGGCATTTGCTAGTCAGCCGATCATAACAACCAGATTTCCCGTTGGCACAATGTTATAAATAGGGAATGCGTTCCTGGTCCGCCAAAGACCAACTTTACTCATTTTTGGGACAATACAGCTACTTCTTATTTGCCATAAATGATGGCATTTTCTTGTTTGTTTGATTTAATGATTTTTGCAGACTACTAAAGGATGAGGCAGTAGACAGTAGTGATGCAAAGGCACTGGTTACCACCAATGCACTATTACTATCAGCAATTATTGAGGAACTTTTCCTTTAAAAACCACTAATAATAATACATTAGCTACACTGCTCATCATGTGGACATCGGAAATAGTTTGCATAGCAGGATGAGGGGGCTAAAACACCGATTTTGAGGCCGTTCCCAAGTTGTGGACCCATGAATACACAAAATACTGATAGGTACGTTTGCTATCTTAAGGATTAATGTAAGCAAAAAATAAAATAAAATAAAAGCAATTTAATAAGCATATCAATGAATTGGATTAGTGTCTGTATAAAGCCACCAAAATTCTCATTGGCACAGTTACTAAATCACGTAACAGAGGCTGCTGGAGACGTTATCATCTACTGCCTTACTGGAGTATCATTTGTCATCTGAAATATTAATAGTAATATCATACATGCACACACAGACAAGAGACTGCCTCACTAATTACTACCTTTTCTACATTAGTATATTTAATACATAAAAGTTACCACTAAAACATACAAATGTTTATTTTCATTCAACAATCTGAATTTATATCCTGTATACTATACCATAATCCCTCAGTCCAAGAGTTCATAGTGTGTGAATTCAGAGATGAGCCACTTTGTTTATAACCTCAATTCCAAGCATACACAAGAACTCATGGTGTTATGAGAGTTGTTTCAGCCCATAAGCTGCTGTGTTACAGCATTTCAAGGACCATAACCTGAATACCACTCGAGGGAATCACAGTACACTACAGTACTTTGGTTAACTCACAATATCATCTGTATATACACTGAAGTGGCTATCTTAGTACTGTATTAGTAAGGCTTTAAAGATTTGTCTAACTTTCCACTTTTATCAATTTGATGCCTTGTTCCCCCTGGAAACAATCTATCCGAGCAAGGCCCCGGGCTGGGATCGGGGAGCAGAATAACTCCCAAGACTCCTAACCAGGTAATCCTTGAAGAATGCCCACATTCAAAATCTGTCCAACATTCTGAATATCTTTTGGTTATTTAATCCTTAAGTACCACCTAAACCTGAAAGGTTTGCATTCTATGTTCTCCTTGTATACGTTCTGTCTGGCTAATGATTTGTGTCCACAGAGGCGACGTGGAAAGTCGATTGCGCTGTGGAAACGAGTTCACCTTGGGCAGTCCAGAACTCCAGACTTGTTTCCCGCGAGGACAAGTGGCCGCCGTCGGTAGTAAGCACTGTGTTGGCTATTTTACTTAGGCAGTTGTGTGAACCAACGTACCCGGGATTTGGCCAAGAGGAGTTACAAGACGACAGTAGTAGCCGTCTGCTGAGAAGTGCTGCTAGAGACTTCTGCCAGGGTGTTAAGAGACCCCTGGAAGTGATTATTTGTGATCCCTTGTCAGCATGTTGCTGAAGCCCTCTGCCAGTGTGTTTCTGGAGAGCAGATGTGGGGTATTGGGACATCATGACGATACAGTGTGTGGACTGGCCCATGTTGAGTAAGGTGAACTTACTGGGTTTTGGTGAACACTACAGATATACTGTATTGTGTGTCCTGGATGAAAGAGACACTGTGTACATAAGTGTAGCTGTACTCCTATAGATAACATATTGGTGAAGGTGTAATTGTATCTTGTTTATACCCCCCTTTATTCCTTGCACTGTTACTTGCTACTGCCAATTCTTGAGAACTTACCATTGGCTTAGGGTGGAATCATAGAAGAGGTGGCTCTAAAGAACATTACACAGAAAGAACCCAGTTACTAGCTCAAGCAGGCCCGTAACAATCAGATAGTACAGTTCTCATATTTTAACATTGCTGTAAGAGTAAGAAGGAAATGACTGATCCTGTTGAACACTTCCTTATTTCCCCTCTCATTATTTGCATCCCTCCTTACCCTACATTCGGCATATTGTGTCCATGTATAAACTGCAGAGCAATGTTAAACATCAAAGTACCAGTCTTCTTTAGTTCTAAGAAGCAGCAAATTAACACATGTAACATTTTTATAAATTTTGAATTTCTTGTTCACAACTACTATCTTATGTGTACATTATTTCCTAACCCCATAGGATATAAGAGATCAAGCACTAAGCTACCCATCCCCATGAGATATAGGACAGAATAAGCACCAAGCCACCCTTCCTCTTGCCACTACTCTACACATGAAGAATCACCATTCTTTCACCAGTAACATGTAACTACTACTACTACTATTATACATGCAATGACTTGGCAATAGTTATATCCAAAGTCTTCACACATATAGCGTAGGGCCACATGAACGCTAATACAAACTACCATGCCATAATATGCTTTAAATAAATGTTCATAATTTATCTAGGACTTTTCTCAACTTATAAAAGGACAGCTAGTCACTAGGTTAAATATTTTCTACAGTTACATAGTGGTTCAAGAATGTACCGAGTCACTAACAACATGTTTATCAATCCAGTACATGTCATCTTCAAACCAAAATGTCTTTTGATCATAGCCAATCAAGACACTCATCACTGGACTGCCATATCTCGGGGTAGAGAGTGGTGTTAGTAGTATAGGAAAAGTGCAATAATTATGTGATATTGTAATGAGTATGTACAGGGTGATGTAATGAGCAGAGGCATATAATGAGTTCAGGGAGAATACAAGTTCAAGAAATACAAGAGTTCAATGGAACAGTACAATGAACAGACACCAGTATTTAAGTGGCTAGTATTCAAATGGACGTGGCTGCATCAAGCAGCCACATCCAGCAGCCTGGTTGACCAGTCTAACAATGAGGCCTGGTAGAGGACCGAGCCACAGGGACACCAAGCACCAAAACCACCACAAGATAGTAAAGAATATTAAAGGGTGAAAGGTGGTGGTTGAGGTCAGGGTGAGGCAGCATGGGCCCGATGGGGTAAGGAGATAAAGTACTGAATTACCAATAGTTCTATTGGTAATCCAGTACTGTATCTTGATACCAATAGTTCTAATGGTATCAAGTTCTATCCATGCACTGATAAATACCTTTTGATGATGAAGAATGTGGTGACGATGGGAGAACGTTCCTCTTTCTACATCCTGACCAGAAAGTCGCACATGGACACCATCTTTTAGTAGAGATCCAAATGCAACGGCTTCACCCATTGCCCAGTCCACGGTGCGTGCCTGAACCATTTCCATGCGACCTATTGGTAAAACAGGAACAGTACATTTCCTATTCAATAAAACCATAAAACAAACCATTTCATTTCATCTATATTCTAACAGCTCAAGGAATACATCACTGAGTACACATGATTAAAATTAAATCAATCACAGTACAGACACAAATATACTGTACTGAACTTACTGCTTAAGATGCGCTGTAGACCTCTATGAATTACAAAATCGCTGGCATTTGGTGGTACACTTGAAAACCGTTTGCAAATATGAGTAATAGTGTCCTCATGAATACCAGTTGGAGTGGCTTTCAGTGGATCTTTTCCCTCAAAGAAACCTGACCATGGAGAGTCAATCCAGTGCTTGTTGAAGACACGTGTCTCTGCCTTTGCTGCTGTGAAGGCCTCTTCAAGAATCTTTTCATATTTATCCTTAACTTCCTGTAAAAAAAAAAAAAAAATATATCATTTGAATATATCAGGCTTTGAGTTAATGTGAAAAAGTTATTTTGAGCACGACACTTGGATGCTCCTTAAGGCAAACTTCTTAAATGAACTATAAGATAGGTGCATGATAGGCAGGCAGGGTGACATTCCATACTGGTGCCAGCAAGAATCTTTCAAAAGATTGTGAATAAGAATGATCAAAGTAAATGGCATTAAATTCAATCTTGCAATCATACTGTACCATTACACACAGAGATCACACTAACGTGATGCATCAAATGAACCCTGGGATGCTCTCGGACGCAGGTTCGAATCCTCGTCACAGCCCTTGTGGATTTGTTCATACTGTACCATTTATATGAAGATACTTATTTTTGTAACAGCCAGTCTTCCAATTAAATATGGGCATAAAAGTATTATCATCAAGGACTTTAAAACATTTTCACAATTTACTCCTGTAGACTTAAAAACCCAATGCTTATGACTAACCCAAAAACTAATAGAACTGTTTCACTATTACATACAAGAAATAATTTTCACAAAGAAAATAATCCATTCCCTGAATGGTTAAATAAATGAAAAGGACACTTGAAATTATAAGAGAAAACAGTGGAGAGAGTGAGTTAATAATTACACACTGCTACTTATGTTGGCTCCAATGTGATAAGAAATGTGAACATTAATTACAAATTAATGAAAAATGCATCAAAATAAAAATGGCTTGATATGGAGACAAAGTTCCTTTATATGAATTGGTTTTGCAAAAACCTATCTATAGAAACATTTTTCATGTTGAAAAATATCATTCATTTTCTTTCATTTTGAAAATGAAAAACAGGAAATGTTTGAAAACATTGATTTAGGAAACAAAGATTTTACAAATATGTATATGGATTGTGAAAATATTAAAATATCTAATGAGAAAAATATTGCAAATAATATAAACCTACAAAACACACACACACACACATTATATATATATATATATATATATATATATATATATATATATATATATATATATATATATATATATATATATATATATATATATATATATATATATATATATATATATATATATATATATATATATATATATATATATATATATATATATGTCGTACCTAATAGCCAGAACGCACTTCTCAGCCTACTATTCAAGGCCCGATTTGCCTAATAAGCCAAGTTTTCATGAATTAATGTTTTTTCGTCTACCTAACCTACCTAACCTAACCTAACCTAGCTTTTTTGGCTACCTAACCTAACCTTACCTATAAATATAGGTTAGGTTAGGTTAGGTAGGGTTGGTTAGGTTCGGTCATATATCTACGTTAATTTTAACTCCAATACAAAAAAATTGACCTCATACATAGAGAAAAGGGTTGCTTTATCATTTCATAAGAAAAAATTATAGTAAATATATTAATTCAGGAAAACTTGGCTTATTAGGCAAATCGGGCCTTGAATAGTAGGCTGAGAAGTGAGTTCTGGCTACTAGGTACGACATATATATATATATATACATATATATATATATATGTCGTACCTAGTAGCCAGAACGCACTTCTCAGCCTACTATGCAAGGCCCGATTTGCCTAATAAGCCAAGTTTTCATGAATTAATTGTTTTTCGACTACCTAACCTACCTAACCTAACCTAACCTAACTTTTTCGGCTACCTAACCTAACCTAACCTATAAAGATAGGTTAGGTTAGGTTAGGTAGGGTTGGTTAGGTTCGGTCATATATCTACGTTAATTTTAACTCCAATAAAGAAAAATTAACCTGATACATAATGAAAAGGGTAGACTTATCATTTCATAAGAAAAAAATTAGAGAAAATATATTAATTCAGGAAAACTTGGCTTATTAGGCAAATCGGGCCATGAATAGTAGGCCAAAAAGTGCGTTCTGGCTACTAGGTACGACATATATATATATATATATATATATATATATATATATATATATATATATATATATATATATATATATATATATATATATATATATATATATATATATATATATATATATATATATATATATATATATATATATATATATATTTATATATATATTTATATATATATTATATATATATATATATATATATATATATATATATATATATATATATATATATATATATATATATATATATAAAAAAGTGCCTGAAACTTAAATGTATTCACAATGTGAATAACACTATCACCAACCTTAACTTCTTCTGCAGATACAACACCTTCTTTAATAAGTTTGTCTGCATACAGTTCAAGGACTGGCTTAAGCTTTCTAATTCTGTTGTACATCAGGGGCTGCGTAAACATTGGCTCGTCAATCTCGTTGTGGCCATTGCGTCGGTAGCAGACCAAATCAATAACAACATCCTTAAAAGAAACCATGTAATAGGATTATATAACAAGTATAAATATATGCATATATTAATGAGTACCACTTTAAATTGGAATATCGTGAATCCACAGTCTCGAAGTAGAGAATAATTAATTTTCAGGAAGCGGTGATGGCCTTCACGAATGAGCAATATTTTTTTTTTCCTACACAATTTTTTTTTTTTAGCTTATAAAGAATGAATTTATAGTTAAACTTTTACAATGATCATGGTATCCAGAGATTGTCCTTTTTTACATAATACTGGATAATTTATTCATTAGCACCTTCTCAAAAGACTTTATTAATGTGTTAAGTTAATGTGATTGGTCTAGTTTTTTTTAATATGCTCTACATTAGTTGCCTCCTTTGAAAAGTGGCAATACAACTGCATTTTGATCGAGGAAAAATTTAAAATTCACTGCAATATCCCATAATATATATACAAGTGAACTAAAATATGAATATATATATTATATTTATATAAAGTTACTTTTGTCAAATATTTATGAAGATATGTTTCCGTACCTTGTGGAAAGTGTGACGCCAGTCTGAAGCCACATTACAAACATGCATAACAGCCTCTGGATCATCAGCGTTGACATGGAAAATGGGAGCATTCACAACACGGGCAACATCTAGAGAAGAAAATGTTTATTCGTAACTACTGTATCTCAAAATTGGTGGATTAAAATACCTCTAGCACTGTAAGATCGAGGTCAATGGCACCAACTATCATAAATTCCGCACTTAACTCTACAGTTGGCACTATTATTACCTCATTTTGGCCAAATATGTATTGCACTTAAATATAAATTCATATACATGGGCCATTTCCCTAGATGCAAAAGCAATGCATGCAGTAACTTCAATGCAACACTTCCTACTTTGCGCTGGTTTTCTTGATGCACAAACAATTGCAAAATTAATACAAATTAAAACATTTCCAAACAAAATTCAAATAGCCATTAACATTCGCCATATAAGAGTTAATAAATTAAGATGAGCTGCATATTAAGAATTCGGTCTCAGCAATTGAAAAAAAGATACACTGTACTGTTTAAAGCTGGGAATTTGAAGGTAAAATCAACGAAACATATTTAGGTAGTTTACCTCAGGTCAGGCCAAAGGAGCATAACCCTCTTAAAATGGGTCACGGGAAAATGAGGCAATAATTTTCTGGAAACCTATTAAGTCTGACCAAGAAATATAGGTACAGTATGAAGATTCATATTACTACACTAAATGTGTTTCTTCGATCGCTGACTTATTTCATGCCGCTGAAATGAGGGAGAGCGAGTAATGTTTGTTGACAGTTATATTAAACAATTATAACTATACTGTGGGAGAACTCTTCCAAAAATCTTTCAAAGCACATCTCTGACGGAGGCAATAAACTAAAATACAGAATGCAAATTTTGAAAAGAATAATTTGTACTTTACATAAGGGTAAAAATATCTTAACACATATAGAACCCCCCCCTCCCCCCCCCCAAGAAAAAATTAAGAGATACAACCTAATCAAAACAACTTGAAGCCAGACCAAATTACAATTAGAGAAGCAAGCTAATGTACATGGTAACTACTTTCCTCTTGCAGAAACATAAGGCCCTACTATATTGTATTGCAAAGCAGAACAAATATGACATGTAGTAATGTAAATACATACAGTACAAAATAAAGTATGATGTATATAAATGATGCTTATATTATAACAAAAAAATGCAAAAAGCTAAAATCAAATTGTCTAAACTAGATGTTCTATCTAGAATCACATACTGTATATATAAAATTATAATATACCTGTGCAATATGGAGAGGATCGAGACATTCGAGGGTCAGTGGTGAAGCCAATTTGATTGTTGACAACAATGTGGATTGTGCCGTGTGTTGTGTACTCCGGCAATTCAGACAAGTGGAAAGTCTCGTACACAATACCCTGACCCGAAAATGCAGCATCGCCGTGGAGCAAAATTGACAGCACCTGTTATGCAAACTTTGCATCAAAACCTTATTCAAAACATAAAAGGAAATGTAATACTTTAAAAATAAATACATATTATTCAATGATTTCAGAGACTAGGTGAATGCATTTGATTTTAGTGATTTCTCTATACCAATCCTTGAGCCGTCTGGTCACAGGGAACTCTACCTAATGTGATGTACAGTACAAGCAACACCACTTCAAATTAATCTGCTCTTGGTTTTACCCAGAAAAACTGCCAAAAACTCTACAGAACTTAGTTTGCTTGACTAGCAAAAAGCTACTCTTGATAACTTTACCTTGTTGCCTTCCGAGTCACCATGGTAGAACTGTTCAGCACGCGTCTTCCCTTGAACAACTGGATTTACAGCTTCCAGGTGAGATGGGTTAGCAACAATGGCCAACCGAATGTTCTTGTTTGTTACACGATTCAAACGCTCTTGATATGTGCCCAAGTGATATTTAACATCCCCAGAACCCTGTAAAAATATTTATCTAATCAAAACATTAATAAACTTACAACAGATCAATAATTCAGTTGGAGGATAACACTTAGTCCACTAGAATTAGGCAAAATTTCCTCCGAGACTCGCTGATTATTACTACAAGCAGTTGCAACACCTAACAATCTGATTATTTAATCTTAAGACAAAAAACAGGTTATGGTTAAACAGAATCCAGAAAGCTAAAAGCAAAGTATATTAATATATATTTTGCCTTTAAATATATTAACAAGGCACAAAATGACATGAAAGTCAATTTTCAAAGATTAAGGTCCTTCAGTACAAAACTGTATGCACTTTAACTATCCAGAGAATATTTGTAAACTTGTAATAATTTAATGATGGTTAACTATACACTTCCATACTATATTTAGTCTTATATTTTGAGGGCTTTGAATTAGGTCTCACCTCATCACCAGTGTCTAAACCAGCAAACTGGGTGAATATGTGTTCAAGAGGCTTGCGACAAACATTAGACAGAACATTTAATCGTCCTCGATGTGGCATACCCATCACAAAACTTTCAACTCCCAGAGAAGTTGATCGATCTATCACCTGTAGAAGGATAAATGGCTTCAATTATACACTAACTACAAAGAAAAAGCATCATTTTATTAAGACATGTATTAACACCACAGTTGCCGATTTACATATTACAAGGTATTAAAATTGCCTAACATGAAAATACATAGTTTGGGGTATATAGCTTTCACACTAGTGAAAGCTATATACCCCAAACATGCTAACTAGAAAAAATACATGCCATATACACACACACACACTTACCTGTTTCATGGCAGGAATCAAAATTTCACAGCCTTCAAGACCAAAACGTTTTTCTGATGAGAACTTCCGAGCCAAAAAGCCTTCAAACCTGCCAGTTTTAAAGTTAATGTTAGAAAGATCATGTGCTGTAAATCTAAATGGAACCACTTTGCAATTAACTCATCTCTAATTTAACAGCTAGTTACCATTTCACAATAAAGACTACACAGGAATAATCATCAATTACAGACCATCTTCAGAGATGATTTTTTTCATTACCAATAACATGTGTTGCTGCACATTCATAAACATTCATCAAACCTTATGTGTATTTTTTTCACATACTTTACTAAAATATTTACCAACACCATAAGATAAAGACATTGTATAACTATTTGTGTAACAAATACTGTAGTTACACAATAGGGAAGAAGAATTGCAAAAGGAATACACCAGAGGAAGAGAAGAAACAAGAGGGGCAACTAAAGGATAAAGGGAAAGTTGATAGGAAGAGGACAAGATGAAGGGAGAGAGCAGAGATCACAATAGACAAATGACAGGTAGAGTTAAGAGCTGAAGACAAAAGGCTGAAAGTTAAAAGATAATGACAATGAAGATGAGGAAACATTTTAAAGAAAAATGGCAGAGCAGAACAAAAATTAACTGAAGGAAGAAGGAAAGCAGGGAGGTACAAGAGGAATGAACAGAAACAATATTTATAAATCCACGTATAATAGCATATAGCAGAATTAACCCACGCATTAAGCTTGCTCACACATGCAAGACCTTTTATTTTGATATAGGAAATTATAAAAATGTAGGTGAATGTGTTACATTAATAAAAAAAAATACTGAGAATCACAATTGTTTTACCTCCAAATAAACAAGAATGTGATGCAATGTTGGAGTGACATGTGAAGAGTGAAATAGTGGAGGAGATTTAATGCTTGGGGTCAGTACTATCATGCAGGCAAAGTAGTGCGAGTGAAGATAACGGGATCCCTACAACGTGTCTTAACAATTAAATGATACTTTGGATGTGAAACAAGGATTATATGACTAAGTTATTACTCATTACTAGTTATAACTAAACTTTTAGTGAAACACATGAAATGAGAATTCAATCTACTAAAGCTATCATAGCAATGAAAATATTATAAATAAATGGAGAAGGAAGAACAAGTGAAAAAAAATTGTTTACTAAAATTTCTTTGAATAATTATCATGTTCTACATATCCTTTAACAGTCGTTTTTCATATGAATAGCAACCACAAACTCAAACACATCAGCCTCTGGCAACATTCAGACACTTGCTCACAACACTTAGAGTGTCCTCTAAATTTCTAATTTAACCTGCACTCAAATCTTACCCGTGAGATCTGGATAATCTTGCTAACAGAAGTCTCTTATCTTGTTGATTCATTGCCATGATTCCTGGAGTTTCAAACTTCTGACGAATCCAGTTACACTGTTCCAAGGAGTTGATGAACATGAATTCAACGCCTATTCCCCCCAAAACAAGAACAAAAATATAGCATTACAAGCAAGAAACTACTGAAATACAAATTTATAAAATCAGCAATACAAGTAAAAATTGGCTTAGGCGTGAATATGGCAAGCACCTGTTTACCTGTCGATTCTTATAGTTGTTGTTCTATTGTAGTCTGTCCTAAAGCCAGTCTTCCCCGGTGACAGCTTGGTCTACGAGGCTGTGCCTGTGTAGCCGCAAGGCCTCATGCCTATCACAGCCTGGCTATGCAGAAACTTAAGTTTCTGCTTTCATGCTTCTAAGATAGTTCAGCAATATTTCATATTTGTTGGCAAAAGGTTAAAGAGTTGCGGACCTCTGATGCCTATGGCACCTTGACATTGTACATGTACAGTATTTAATTTATTTATTTATTGTACACTTCTTACATTCCCCCTCACTCCAGTATAATGCATTTTCCATGTAAACAGAAGATAGATTTCCTGTGAAATTTTGAATTGGATGCCACATTATATACCTTCCTTATCAATGCCAACTTTTTTCTTTTGATGCTCTGTTACAAGTTTATACATGTTGCAACACCAAAGATCACTAGATTTACAACAACAAATATGCAAGGAGGTTAGAACTACAACACTTACAGTATAAATTGACCTTGATTTATACTTAGATTTGTACAAAAACCATCAGCAGTTAAACTAAGAGAAAAAACTACCACACTACTACTACCATGAAAAATCTATCAGGAGATCACCAATATGCTACCAACCCAGAAAACAATGTAACAGATTCCCACTGTGTGTGTAACATTGAATCCAGCAGCACAGGCCTAGACCAGAGACCCCAAGGTACGGTACAGCCAAGGTACCGAAACCATAAAAGATGAGAGGAAATGCACTAGAGAAAATAGCTCTGAAAGATGCAGGACTTTGACATGCTGTTCCAGGAAAGAGAATGCTGAAATATGGCTGAAGTAGAATGCAAAGTTCAGTGATATGCAAACGACTGGTTAAACATGATTAAAATGAACACCAACACACAAGAACTCCCTGTGCAGAGAAAGTCTAAAAGAATGATAAGTGGTGATTCGGGGAGTTTGATGCCAATGGTATTTCAGTAGTTTCAGAATGATAAATGAATTTCCTGCAAAGATCAAAGTTATACTTGCAGGGTGTACAAAGTGTTTTCCAGTTTTACCTCTAAAATTGAACTGATCTTTTTATGGTGGATAAACTAATCTCCACTGTTGTGGCTCAATTTACATGGTAGGGCCAGTTTAGCAAAGATATCAGTCAAGGTGAGAAATCAGGTTGACCAAGTCAGGCATGTTTTGTGGTCTGGTTAGACTAAATAGGTGTGCTTCCACACAGGAAAAAAGAAAATGGGCTTGCCCAGAAATATATATTTCTGCCTTTCATATACCAGCATTTAATTAAGCATTTCCAGCATTCCTCCATTCATACTAATTTAAAACAACTTCTCTTGGACAATACAAAAATAAGATGGGAAATAAATTCAGAAGACTAAATAGCTTCAAGACTAGACAGATGTTTGAAATGGATGAGAGATTGGCAGATACAGTTTAATGTAAGCTAGGAAAATTTTTTAGGCTAGGAAATGATAGTTACCAAATATCAATAGCATTCAAATTGCGATATATGAATGCAAAAAGTGATCTGGAAGACATGGCTAGTAGAGATCTAAAGCCAAAAAATTAATACATTAATGTTCAGAATAAGGCAAATACAATATTGGGATTTATTTCCAGAAGCATAGACAAAAACACAACTGTGTTATTCTTCAGCTTTATGTTATCTTGTTAGGCCCCATTTAGATTATGCAGTTCAATATCAGCCTCCATCCTGCAGAATGGACAAATTCACTCGAACAAGTTCAGAGAAAGAATACACAGGTCATCTCAGTAATTAGAAATGTTTCATATAAAAAGATTAATTTACATTACTTCAGAAAGGCAAAGAGGAGTATTGAAGTACTATATTTAAATGAATAAAAGGGTATAACATACAGTACTAATAAGGTGTTGCATACATCAAGACAAAACAAAAAATGGATATAAATTAGACAAATTTAGAGTCGGGAAAGACCTGGGAAAATACCGACATAGAAATTGGGTAGTCAATCTATGGAATAAACTACAGCACTGGATAACATAATAAATGTGGGATCTCGCGATTGTTTTAAACATAGGTACACACACATACATACATGAATGAGTGAGTGGGTATAAATAAGGAGCTGGCTTACATGGACCAATAGGCCTTCTGCAGTTTCCTTAATGCTAACATTTTTATGCTTATGATCACAGACTCGGTACACACATGATAAATACAGGTACTGTACTGTAATTTAGATTATATATTACTTACCTATCGAGCGACAATAGGCATCCTCTAGACGTTTGATGATCTCCTTCAAGGGAAGAGTCTTCTCACTCCCTCCAACAAAAGTTGACATGGGCAACTTAAATGATCGGTCCATATCAGACTCATCTGTTACATGCAAATCAAGCTGTTAAAATACAGTACATATTAAATAGACTTTGTATACTAGTATATAAGTATTGAAATTTTGGCTATTGGAAATTTTATAACAAATCTTTTAAGGTTCTGTAGAATTTCTTTATATAGTCAAGCTTTCTAATGAAGAGAATTGGGAGAGGCACTTAAATACTATCATCTATCCAATTAGGACATTTTCAAGTATTATAAATAATTCTGATATTTTCACATACTGGATCTAATTTCATTAACTACTAAACAAACTATTGTCCATTTTGTAGCTGGTTAAGTGCAGTGGAACCTGAATAATCCATACTAATTTGAGTCAGATCATTTCTAGACTTTAGATTTCATTCCCAAATTTATTTGGAAGTTTTAAAGGGTTTTCACCCAAAAATTACAGAACATATTTACACATACTGTACCAACAATAAATTTCTTATACCAAATTATAAAAATACATACAACAAACTATTTTGACCTAGCTTACTGAATATAAACCCTATCCTGGGTAGAGTATTACAGTACTGTACAATACTAACCTAATAAACTAATTTATCAAATTCATACAAATTTGAGCTCCTGGGGCCCGATTCATGAAGCAGTTACACAAGCATTTACGAACCTGTACATCTTTTCTCAATCTTTGGCAGCTTTGTTTACAATTATTAAACAGTTAATGAACTCCAAAGCACCAGGAGGCTGTTCATAAAAATAACAACAGTTGATTGGGAGGCTTTCATGCATGTAAACTGTTTAATAAATGTAACCAAAGCCGTCAAAGACTGAGGAAAGATGTACACGTTCGTAAGTACTTGCGTAACTGCTTCGTGAATCTGGCCACTGGGCATTTATCCCTCAACATTTGGCACCCAAACTCTCCCATGGCACTCTTTAACAGCAACAGGCCAGTGCCAACATGAGACTCGTCTCCTAGCCTCACTCACTGGCTATGAATATACGGCTATTCATATAAATTTACCCTATTCCTTCTACCTGGTTTAGGCTACCTACTCTTCCTGACAGAAACCTTTATACAGTACATGTACTCAAAAATAATTAAATATTTAAAGAAAATTGGATTAATATCCTTGAGTAACAATGAACAAGCACAGGGTAAGATCAGATGATCGGAATATTTTATGTTGAGTATCGGCAGTACTGGGCCGATATTAAAAAAAAAAAAAAAAAAAAAAAAGTACCCTATACAAACTTATGTCCTGTACAAATGCCAAAATATTTCTTAATTATATTTTCAAATAACTTATTATCAAAGGCATAAAATAGTAAAAACCCAGTACAGTACTGAAGAAATATGATCTGCAAGAAATTACAAAATCGAATTAAAACATTTTGTAATGGATTTCTGTAAACTACTTTGGAATACAAATCCTCCTGAATTTTAAAGGGGTTATTTAACTTTGAGGTCCAGATTTTCAAAGTTCCACTATACTATAATCACATTAGTATTTTTGTAATATGCTTATTTTAAATTAAAACCAACAACTATTTATACTAAATTCACTTAAAATCACTACAGTCAACTATATGGTATTTGCACTTGTATGCTGCAACTCAATATTTTATCATTCTGATGTTGGGTAACATTACAGTATACAGGAAATGTCTGCTTATCTGGCCACCTAGATTATTTTCCAAGTTGACCACAGAAGCAATCTGATCTGGCAGCCTTTGTTGTCCTGATATTTTGTGACAAAAGTTCCTTCCTTTGGATTCTTTATGAAATACTGTATATGAAACATAATATATAGGCATGCTAGAGTTCTAATACAGTATATCAACAAAGGCTTGAAGAGAACATATTATAAAGACGTATTTAATGTTGACTATTGAAGAAAAAATCAAAACACACCGACAGCAAACTCGCCATTGACGAAATAGCCATTTAAATGAACATCAGAGAAGATGACAAAACTACCGGTACATCAATCCAAAATATTTTCTTCTAAAGAATGTACTATATCTCCTCTATTTTTGCTTTACTAATAATATACAGTAGCTGGAATGGGTTTGCTTTAATCAGCGAGTACGTGGAAGATGTGCGAGTTACACCATGTACAACACACAACAGTACACCACCTAGTAGGAGGACTGTATGATAGTGTTTAGAAACGATGTTAAACTAATGAGAAGGGTAAGGACTGAAGAGAATTGCATGCTAATACAGGTAGGTCATTGGTATAGCTGCAGGTATGGCTGAACAAATGGCTAACGTTTTATCTGAAACTTGTCCAAAAACTAACAAAATATTTTATCTCAACAAATACAAAGAATAGCAATGAGGTTTGAGAGAAGAGGCAGTTGAAGGAATCAAGAAGAAAATGCCCGCAGCATGGCTGTAACACCAGTCTTGACACGGGTGAGACACTAAGTATTCAGGCACTGTCCCACCATTTATCTACACAGCCAAATATGGTATAGTATTGCATCCAATTGTACCATCGTACCTTCCCACCTCACAAAACATTCAATGTCCAAAAATATATCCTAATACTGTACAGCTCCTGTTAATATATATCCTAATACTGTACAGCTCCTGTTAATATATATCCTAATACTGTACAGCTCCTGTAAATATATATCCTAATACTGTACAGCTCTTGTAAATATATCCTAATACTGTACAGCACCCGTAAATATATATCCTAATACTGTACAGCTCCTGTAAATATACATCCTAATACTGTACAGCTCCTGTAAATATATATCCTAATACTGTACAGCTCTTGTAAATATATCCTAATACTGTACAGCTCCTGTAAATATATATCCTAATACTGTACAGCTCTTGTAAATATATCCTAATACTGTACAGCTCCCGTAAATATATATCCTAATACTGTACAGCTCCTGTAAATATACATCCTAATACTGTACAGCTCCTGTAAAATATCCTAATACTGTACAGCTCCTGTAAATATAGATCCTAATACTGTACAGCTCCTGTAAATATAGATCCTAATACTGTACAGCTCCTGTAAATATATCCTAATACTGTACAGCTCCTGTAAATATAGATCCTAATACTGTACAGCTCCTGTAAATATATATCCTAATACTGTACAGCTCTTGTAAATATATCCTAATACTGTACAGCTCCTGTAAATATACATCCTAATACTGTACAGCTCCTGTAAATATATATCCTAATACTGTACAGCTCCTGTAAATATATATCCTAATACTGTACAGGACTACCATTAGTCAAGCCAGGCTTGGGGGAGTAAAAGAACTCCCAGAACCCCATCAAGCAGGTTCACTAAACACACCAAGGAATGCAAAGTATTAGGGTACAGTAGTCAAGGTCATTTGCTAACTGAAAGTGTATTAGTTTGTCCTCAGAGGTACGAATATTGCATAGTTGAATATTGTATTTTGCAATAGAGAATTGTATTTTTCTGGCAAGAAATACACAATTAAAGAACTTATTACTTAGAAGTTTACATTTATCAGTTTCCTCTTCCTGCAGGTTTTCTGTAAAACTATTACTGTATACTAAAAAATACTGTACTCTTGATAAACAAATACTGTATACTGATCAATAAAATAAACAAAAATCATTTAAAATCAGAAATATTAAAATTTTCACCCAACAATTTTTTGTGAACAATCTACTCTTGAGAGTAGATAGAAAATATTTTGAACTGTTTTACAAGTACTAGTACCATAAAGTTGTCTTTATAACAGGAGCATTTGTGTTAATAACATTTAACATTTAATAACATTTAATAACTTTATAACATTTGTGAGCATTTGTGTTAATAAAAAGTTGTATCTAATGAAAACTAATTTTCAGTGTTACTTAAGAATACTGATCCATAAATTCTAAACCAGATTTACCTCGAACTTGGTTAGAAAAGTTATAGACACAGGGAAAAGGCCATAACAAATATTTATCTACGGCATCGTTAAATTTAAGTATCAAGCAAGAAAACTAATTACACGCGAGCATTATATCCCAACTGGCTCTTAATTAAGTCAGCTATATTACATTAGGCATCATGAACAGGTACTTGATATATTAATATACAGGTAACTAGAAAGACCTTTTCCCCCCATCCCATCAAATTGTAAATTTGGTAATGTATGAAAGGAAGTACACTATATCGTATGACAAAATTTCTTCTTTCACATATCCCTTTCCCATCCTAAAAATACCAACTACAGATATATAATTGCATTACATAAAAGAAAACAACTGAAGTAGTAATGTTTAATAATTACACCAGAAACAGTGGCACCTCGCTCGAATAGACTAACTGGAACCAGACTTGTGTGTTACCAAGGATTCTAGTAAACCAAGTTTTGCCAAGTATTGGAAAAAAAAAAATTCTATTCCCAAATGGCCAATGCAGCTTGGTGAAGCAAACACCATATTACAGTTTACCATTAGTCAGCTTATTCTCCCCTCTCCCCCCCCAAGTATTCCAGTCCACTGTGACCTATTCTAGCAAGGTTCCACTGTTCAAATTGTAAATAAATAAGCGCCGCACAATTATGATAATTAACTATGTGCAATGCAATTACATACTGTACCAAGTATCTAAATGCTTATATGTACCACTTTCTCCATTCCATATTGTACAGAACATACCATGCAAACATTATGCACAAAAATACCATGCAAACATTACACAAAAATATACCATGCAATTACCATACACAAACATATACACAAATATACCAATCATCATACACAAATATACCAAGCAAACATCATACAAACATACCAAGCAATCACACACAAAGTTTTCAAACGTCACACAAAATTACCAAGCAAACCGTCGATAAAAAAAAATAAGTGATAATTCATCACGTCTCAAGTAATATTCAAACAATGGAATAAATCATGAACATGAATATGTAAATACGTGTATAAATGTACGAGTATGTAATTATCCCGTGTGTATTTACAGGATAAAATCCACGCTTGTGGCAACCTGTCTTCCTAATAATCTTTATCATTTGAT